GATGTAAGAACTGGGTGGCGGTGTATTTCCATGCTGAATGGGAATAGGAAGGGTTTAGACAGTTAACAGGACAAAGTTTGAACGAGAATCGTCACAGAATTCTGCACCTCCGCCAGCTGTAACACACTGGTAAGTTACCTTACCTCTCTGAACCCCAATTGCCTCATTTGTAAAGCAGTTGTAACAAAGAAATCTTAGATTTAGTATAAGTTTAAATGAAATAATACAAGCAAAGCAGTTAGCCAGGTACCTGGCCATAAGCTCTCAATAAGGGCCTGTCAGCTGTTTTTAGAAATGGTACAAGTGTACCGGTGGAAACTGAAGTGCTCGCATTCAACATTTGGCAAATATTTTTACATTAATCTACTTTTTGCTTATTCATTTAGTTATTCATTCATTTAACCCATTAATGTATTCAGCATATATTTACTGGGCATCTACTACCAGTCAATTCTTACTCCAGTTCATCCCTGTCCAACTGTATTTAGTGGGTTCCAGCCCCAAGGGGAGTTCCGGCTCCCTTCACAAGAGCTGATGGAGTCTAGCTTGGCAGGAGGGGTGCTGGGAGATCTTGTCCCTGTGGCAGTTGGGGCTTTGGAAGTTGTTTTTTGCAGCTCTGCCTCCTCAGGCTCAGTTGCCTGAACAGAGCAGACCCCTCTAGTACTTGAGCAGCACTGAGACAGGACAACTTTCCACAGGCTCCTCTGTCCCCCATCCCTCACCCTTGGGGAGGTGTGCCCCCTGTATCTTGAAGGCCCCATCCAGCAAGCCGGAACCCACTTTCTCTACTGTGGGACTCTGTCACCTAGGACTGACCTCTGTTGGTGGCCCACTGTGCTTTGCTGTCCTAGGATTCCTGGAACAATCCTGTGCTTTTGATACCCCATCATCTCTACACTCTATTTTTTTAGTGCCCTTGGAGCCCTCACTGTGCATCTCGGTGCCTGTCTCCATTTGCCTGGAGTCTCCACACCACGACTCACACTTGTTTTGGGACCATCTAACTTCTCTGGGCCAGCGTCTTTGGGCCCCTTCATGCCCTGTACTTGGGCTGTGTGACAGGGATGTTACTGGGCAGGCACCCTGCTGGATCTCTGAGAGACAGAGGTGCTTAACACACACAGTTCATAAGCAGACATCTCACGTGTGCTAAGGGCCATGATGCGTGGCGCTGTGCCAGGAGGTGACCTAAGCAATCTTAGAGGATTTTGCTAGATGGACAGTGGGAGAAAGGGAAGTCACATCAAGGAGACTAGCATGCATAAAAGCCTGAAATCACATGATATTCTTACAGAAAATGTAGTGTGAATAGAAAAAAGGGAATATGTTCTTTGGGGTTGAGAGCTCATGAGTAGCAGGGGGAAGAAGTGAGGCCAGAGAGGTAAACAGGGGCCTACACTTGAGGGCCTTGTGAGCCATACTGTGTACTTTAGACTTTGCCCTTCCAATGCTGGGATCCTGTGGAGGGTTTTCTATAGGGGCATGGCATGTGCAGAGTTGTATGTAAGGAAGGTGAGACCCATGGCTGTGAGGGGATGGGTTGTCTCATTTGTCCTCTAGCAATTCTGTAAGGCAGATGGGAAAATACTGTTTTCTACTTTTTATGCCTGAGAACGCTGAAGCTCCAGAGGTTAAATACCTTGCCAAAGTTCTCAGAACCCGAAAGCAGAGGACCTAGGATTCACCTGGCTTCCTGGATCTGAATCCCTTTCTCATGGGCATACTGCCATTGTTAACAGAGTCTTCTAGAAAGCTGGGCAGTGAGTAGATGCTGACAGAAGCAATGTGAAGCAAATGGTCATTGATACAATCTTGTTGAAGGAGTGTAGTGCTGGGATTTTGTGGCCTGTGGTGTTCAGTCTCCTGACCTCTGTGCCAGTGCACAGACAGCAAGAAACAGCGGGGAGCTTTGAGCTTCAAGTGCAACATTGCCTTGACAAAATCCATTTATCACTGTCTCGCTCATTAATTCACAGCAGCGTCTCCTGCCTGACGCTGGCATTTGTCAGTGGCTTGTTTCTGGAAGCCCCTGGTCTTCAAGGCTGGTCAGCTCTGCAGCCCACAGCCTCAGGGTGAGCCCGGGCAGTCAGAGGCAGGTCCTTTCTGCCTACATTTTGTAAAATGAAATAACTTTATTTTTTAAAACACAAAGGTAGCGTGACCTAGCAGTACAGAACATGAGCTTGGAGATAAGCAAACCTGGGTTTTAGTTCTATGGCTGTGCCACTTAGCAAGCTAGGAAAGTTATGTAATGTATATGAACCTCAGTTCTCTTCTCTCTAAAATGAGCAAAGTCAAACCTACCTGAGAAGATGATCGTGATGAGGAAGATGAGATAGTGTTTATAAAGAGCCTTGGCATGACACCTGGCACATATGAGTCCTCAATATGGTGGCTTTAATTCCTGCTCTTATTGTTCCCACCACCACTACCAGCCATCCTGCTGCTACCACCAGTTAAAGAATGTTTGAAAAATAGAAAATAGAAGAAAAAAATCTTATAATCTCACCACCATGACACAGCTACCCTTATAATTTGTTTCCTTCAAATCTTTTTTCCCCACTACTTCAGAGTATATCAGATTTTACAGCATATTTATTTTATAGCCAGGAAGGGTTTTTTTCCCCTCTATGGTGGGAACTGCATTATGTTTATTTTTCTTATTTTTAATAGATAATTTTTCTGATTATAAAAATAGTGTGTAAAATTTAGAGACCATAAAAAAAGTCAAAGGGAAAACCATACTCATAATGCCTCCTTTATGCTTAGCCCAGAGGCTATCACTATTAACTTTTTGGAATAACTCCTTCCAATCTTTTATTCATATTTTATTATAGATTTGAGATCATATTACATATACAGTTTTTATGTGGTTTTCCAGTTCATAGGCTATCACGAGTATTTTCCTTTATTGTAAACATCATTTTCCAAGGCTGCATAATTTCCAAGTCATCAGATGGCTCTACCATAATTTACATAGAATTCTCCTGTTGTTAGACATCTGAGTTTTTTCCCAGTTCTTCAATCTAAGCAGCTTCCTATGACACAACCTAGGGAACCAGCCTCAGTATAACCAGGAAGCATATGATGAACTTATGCTGTGTGTATGGCCTGGGTGAGGCCTGGGGGGGACCCCTCAGATAGATACAGAGCCTGCCTCAAAGGAGCACAGAGACTAGTCACCCTGGAATTATTTACTGGGGTAAAAATATACAGGTACTTCTTTGCCAGACAGTGTCAGGGAATCCACCTATATGTGGGTAACCGTCTTCCCTGTGGAAGCTGAGATCCTGGACGCATAACTTTTACAAAGAAAAAAGCCTCAGAAGCCTTGCTGCCCCTTCTCACCTACCAGTGGTTATTTTGCCTCCAATGCTCAAATGCCTTTTGAGCCTGTTACCTTGACTGTTGGGGGCCTGTGCTAATTACCTTTGAATATCACTTCCAAGTGGTTTTTCACTGGGAAAGAGTGAGAAGCTATAGCACCAAGAAAGGAACTTGTGTGAGAATCAGGGAATCAGACAGACCCTAGTCTTAGTTTTTTTTTTGTTTTCTGTTTTTTGTTTTTTGCGGTACGCGGGCCTCTCACTGTTGTGGCCTCTCCCATTGCGGAGCACAGGCTCCGGACGCGCAGGCTCAGCGGCCATGGCTCACGGGCCCAGCCGCTCTGCGGCATGTGGGATCTTCCCGGACCGGGGCACGAACCCATGTCCCCTGCATCGGCAGGCGGACTCTCAACCACTGCGCCACCAGGGAAGCCCCCTAGTCTTCATTTTGACACACACTTCCTCTGGCACCTTGTAGTGTTAAAGATTGGACTAGGTGACCTCCAGGACTCTTCCAATTGACATTCCATATGTACCGGAAGCCTTTTTCTTGCCAGGAGCTAAAGTGAGCATCCTGATAAAGGTCACAGGATGCTTCTCCAGAGTCTCGATTTCCTTTTAATTAGTACCTGAGGAGCCATTTATACTCTTATATTCCCAGTCACTTCCTTCTGGTAGCATTTGGGACATGCGGAGATTGAAAGGCACTGGGTGCAGACACAGGATTCAGAACCCCAAATGATTGTCTTTTATGTATTAGGTATTTGTTCTTTATGTACTTTGTTCTTTCATTCATTCTCTCATTTAGCAGGTGTTAACTGAGCCCCAGGTTTTGTACAGTCCATCTGTGTAATACAGAGGGGAACAAGTCTCAGCATTGTTCTCAAGACACACACAGTCTAGTGAGGAGACAGGAAAAAATGTAAAAGACAACAAGATGATTGCTGCAGTGGGGGTACATATAAGTTGCATAATGCAAGGAGTGCTTGAGTCTGCCTAGAAGCAACAGCAAGAGAGTCTCTGGATGCTTTGAAATTTTAAAGAATGAGTAGAAGTTTTTTAGGTAGGCAGTTGAGGAGAGGGCATTCCTGGCAGAGAAACAGCATGTGCAAAGGCCTGGAGGTGTTGGGAGAACATGTTGTGTTCAGAGAACTGCTGGTGGTTTGTGTGGCTGGAAGGTGAAAGGGAGAGTGAGCAGATGAGGAAAAGTCAAGAATTTTTCCTCAGGCAAGTCTGTTTCCACTGAATTCTTTGCTCATTTTATCAGTCCAGATGAGAGTGATGGATTTTTAGCTCAGTTTTCCAAAACTGTCATTTGTATTCCCTTATATTTCCATTTTTATAGTAACACACGTTCATTATAGAAAGTTTGAAAAATACGAAAACGTAGAAAGAAGAAAGGATTAAAAAAAATCGCTCATGGTCTCTGCCTAAAAACAAATACTTTAACACCTTGGTGTATTTCCATTCAACGGTTTTTTGTTTTTTCACTTTTTCTTTTTATGTAGTCATGAGTGTATCGTAACTATAGTCTTTTGTACATGATGCCCCTTTCTACTTCCTAAAATTTGCCAAAAAATAGATGTTATTATCATTAAAATATAACTGATCATAAAATATAATGGCTGAAATATATTTTTTGTTTAGTGTAACTTATTTTCTTTCTCTTTACAGGTCTCCTGTGGCTCAGAGCATAATCTGGCAGTGATTGGTAAGTAATTAGTATACTGATAACTGTGTTTATTCTGAAACTCATGCGCAGAATTGGAGGACTCTTGGTTAACCAAAGGCCAGGGTGCATGCGTCTGTGTATGTTGGGGAAGAGTCTGGGAAATGGAAGCCTTTGTTGATCAAGGCTTTGCCAGAAGCCCTTTTTCTAAAAATTTCTATTCAAAAAGGTGCCTGAGCTGGCCTCCCTGCCTCAGGAAGTGGCATTTGGGAATATTAAAGATCTTACAGGCTGGGGGCATCCTGTGTAAAAAGCCAGACATAAAAGGGGAAGAGGATTGGGCTGCTCCTGGTTTTTGAATAAATCCTTTGCACCGAGTTCTTTCCTCTTGCTTGGCTCTTTCTTTGGAGATGGTGGGTTCTGCTCACTGCCCTCGCTGCCATGTGTTTCATGTCACTCTGGAACTCCCAAGCCTCTGATAAATTGAGGCTTCCTCTTATTGACTCTGAATAACCAAGGTTCACTGTTTTTATAATCAGGCCTGTGCTCAGTTCCTTCAAGAAGCCTTCTCATTACTTCCACACGTAGACTCAGTCGGTACAATAAAGAGACAGTGTAGGGCCCGACTACTTGAGTCCAGTGCAGGCTTCTGCTTACTAGCTGTATGAACTCAGGTAGTCGGGCCCCACACAGACAAGGTGATTAGCCCTCCATGCCTCATTTTTCTCACTTTTAAAATGGGGAGGGCAGTGGCATCTTCCTCATAGGGTTGTTGCAGTTGTTGTGAGGGTTAAAGGAGTTGATACATGTAAAGCGCTTAGAAGAGCACTTAGCTCCTGGTAAGGGTTTTAGAAGTGTTCGTTGCTATTTTCTGATAATCATTAGTTCAAGTAATTGCCCGCCTCGGGGCTTTAGGTCTCCCATCTGTGATAGGGAGGGGTGAAAACAGGAAACCAAGGTTCTCTCCAGCCCTGACATTTCAGGACTCTGTTGCAGCCCCATCGCTATCTGCCTTGAGTAGGTGATGTCTGTCCTGTGTACTTCCCTCTCCCAGCCTCTCTCAGCTTCTGAGGGGCGAGGCCCCTGTGTTTTCCTTTTGTTTCCTGCTTATATGCAGCACCCAGAGCAGTGAGCCAGTGCCTGGCCCTCAGCGGAGACTCAAGCACTGTTTTCTGAATTAAGCTAGACTGGCTCGCTCAGCTGCCTGGGTTGGCAGCAGTTTGAAGCACTACTTTGTAGGCCCGAATGTGATGTGCAAGGAGGCGGAACCAAGGACAGTAGAGGAGGTATAGGCTGACAGCCAGCAGAGGGGGTGGGGAGTAAAAAGCGCTGGAGTCAGAGAGGGAGTGAGAAAATGTAACAGCAAACCTGCATGCTTTGCAACACCAGATATGTTATCCCGGAACTACTCCAGCCTGGGTGTAATTAAGACAAGCTAATCAAAGAATCAGAGGCGGTGCCTAGGATGTTGCTGCTGCTGTCACTGGACTAGGAGAGAGGTTGGCACAAACAATAAGATTGCAGGGAATCTAAATACATGAAAAAACAAAATCCAGTTGAAGGAGGAGGCCAGAGCCAGCAGGGTGGCAGGCTGAGCCGATAGACAGCCTAGGGCTGGAGAAAGAGCATAGACTCTGCAGGCAGACGGCCTTGGTTTAAACCAGCTCCATCTCTGTGTGAGCTTCCATGTTTTCCCCTTATCTATGTAATGGGGATAATTCCACCTTGCAGGATTGTTGTGAGGATTAGAGGAGATAACGTGTGTGAAACACCTGTTACTATATAGGGGATGTGTAAGAAATTAATTCATAATTCCATTCCTTTTTCATTTCTCTTGGTCTGGGTGGGGAGAAGGGAGAATCACTTGTTAGTGTAACTGTTCCAGTGAAGTAATTCTTGGTTGGGAGAGAGAAATGATAACATTCTGGAAAGGTGTGTCTAGCGTTACTACCCAAGTGAGGAAGGCAGCAGAGGCGGTGGGAGAGCAGGGCATGGCATGCTGATGAACTCCTCGAGGGCAGACCTCTTATTTTCTGTTTTGTCCCCAATGCCTGGGGCCTGGCTCACAATCTGCTGAATGAATGGTTCCAGAGTCAGGAAAGGTGGGCCCAGTCACGAGACTCTGGACATGTCCACCTGCCTGCATGTGAGCCGGGATCAGAGGCTCCCTGACACCTGGGGAAGGGGGCCCTCAGTGGGTGCCCTGCAGGGTGCAAGTTGTATAGCAGGAAGCGATGAGAAGCCTCCTGTTAGCCCTGACAAGAGGCCAGCAAGAGGGGGACAAGCTGGAGGAGGAGAGTTCCTACCAGCTGAAAGCCTGGCTCTCACAGCCAGCTCCCTGCTCCCCCCTCCTGCCCTTGCCTACTTTAGGTGGATTTCCCTGCCTTCAGTCTCATCCCCGAGATGCAGGCCCTCAGTGCCTGGTGCTGGGTCACCCACGTGACAGGCACAAAATGGTTGTAGAATAGACTAGAACAGAATATAGAGAAGCCAAACTTTGCTCAAAAGTAGAGGTGGCCTTAATATCTAATGAATGCACAGCAGACAGATCAAACTGGAAAGGAGGGGAAAGAGATGGGTGAAAGGATATAATTCAGGACCTACTCTGTCTAAGAACGGACACAACTCCACGAGGTGTTTTTGTTGTACCCACTTCATAAGGAAGAAAACTGAGACTCAGAGGTTAAACAAGTTGCCCAGGGATAAGTACCAGTAAATGGTAGAGCTGTGTGCCTGACTTCTAAGAATGCTCCTTCAACTCTGTCATATCCTTGGGGCTGCAGGATGCGGAGTGGTTAAGAAGAGCACAGGCACTGGGATCATATCACCTGGATTCAAATCCTGGCTCCTCCGCTTATGAGCCATGTAACCCTGTATAAATGGCTTAACCTCTCTGTCTTGATTGCCTCATCTGGAAGATCATATTATTGACCTCATAGGGTTGTTATAGAAAGTGCTAACAGTGCCTGACACAAAAGTAGGCTCGGTGAATGTTAGCTGGTGTTGGTGTCGTTGCTATATGTTAAGAATATAATTTAAGGAAGTAATTGTAAGATGACTGTAAGAAGGCTGAGGCTCAGGGTGGGAGTCTCAGAAGCTGGAGAGAAGTGTCTTCCCCACCTAGAATGTCAGGGTCCAGGGCAGGACCTCAGCATAGCTGCAGAACGGATTTGTAAACTGGAGCCTGGGTACCTCGATCTGGGGGATCTGGAAATCCCAGCAGCCCTGGAAACAGTGCCAGCCCAGATTTGCTCCAGGTCAGGATTCTGCTATACGCTGTTCCAGGCAGGGACTCGGGACCTGCATGTTCCAGCCTGAGGGAAGCCCCGCAGCAGCCACATTTCAGGCTTCTTAGGAAATCAAAAGAATTCGACTTTGATACTTCATTGCTTCCAGGTTTCTTTTTCCCCCATTCTTTTGCAATTTGCTTTGCTTCTTTTCTTAGTTTTCCAATGAAGTTTCTCTTGACCTGTTCTGTGTTTGCTGCCAGGTCACTCTTCCTCAGTGAGCCTGATTCCTCATCTGTAAAACCAACATCACAATACCCACCCCTAAAAGTTGTTTTTCCAAATGGCATAGGTATGTCGGTTGCCTGCGCAGTGCCTGCTACAGAATAGGTGCTCAGCAGGTGAACTTGGCAGGTTCATGAGGTCATTTGCTTGGTTGCTTCCTTCCTTTTCACCCAGGATTTCCCTCCATATATGACGAAGCTGGCTGGCTCCCATTTGTGGGCATAGGCGGTCAGCAGAGGTGAGATGAGGACATGTGGCCACCACTTGCTCGGAAGATCCCTGCCTGCCAGGGGCAGGCTCCCCAGGCCCAGCTCTGTCTTCGGGGCCCTCACTTCCATGCCTGGTTGAATTGGCTCCAGCTGTTTTGCTTCCCCCCAGGAGCAGCTTATTTTGGCTTGAATGGGCGATTTGTTTGCCTTCTCTCCTGATTTTCGGTTGTTCAGCCTTCCCTTCCTGCAGAGAAAAAAGAGCTCAGCACATTTCCTTTCTTCCGCTCCACGCAGACCCTTGGAAGGGATTTTATTGGTGGCCTTTTCCTGGAGCACTCACGCTTGCCAGACAGGCATTGTTAAAGGGTTAGATATTTGGCAGCAAAGTGTAGAGCGTCCTCCTCCAAGCAAAAGCATCTCTTTTACCAAATTGGAGCTATAATCTATGCAAGGATCTTTTATTTTTAATGTTTTTCATTTCACTGATGGCTTCCAATTGTTGAACCTTTGTACCTTTGTAATATGTGTGGTGGAACAACTGACCTTGCATGGCCTGATACCCATCAAGTGGGGTCATGTGAGGATTTAATAGCGAGAACTAACTCATTTTGACACTGGCTTTAGCCCTGAGAGGCAATACCTCCAAACCCAGGGCCTTGTAGAGAGCTTAGAGGCAAGGACAGACTTGTACAGTCCTATGCACAGTAGGATGGGCAGAGCGTAAATGCTTTACTTATATTGTCCCATTTAATCCTCATACCACATTGATGCACTGTTGTTAACCCCATTTTCTAGATGGGGGAAGCCGAAGCTTAGGCTGAGCAGTTTGCCCCGCCAGGTCATCTGATCAAGAGGAATCTGTGTGTCAGGTCTTCAACCCAGGCCTCTATCTCCAGAGCCTGTGGTCTTCTGCCTGTCTGGCCTGTTTTTAAGGCCACCAGATAAGATTATTTCATCTCTTCATTTCAATATTTAGCTCCCCTTCATGTTGGCAAGTTCTTCTGTATATGTAGATTATATGTAATCTGGTTCAGATTAAGCAGTTCTCGGCATAATAACCAGATAAAATCGAGACATTGATGACATTGTGTTGTCATCACACTTCCCTCTCTACCTTCTGAGATTCCCACCCCTTTTAGGATTCTTCTTCCCCCTTCCGTTGTCCCTTCTCTTTAAAAAATTTTTTACTTATTTAATTTTTGAGTAATACACGTACATTATTTAAAACTTAAAAAGCACAAAAAGGTTTAAAATGAAAAATTTCCCTCCAGCTTTATCTCCCATCTATCCAGAGTGCCAAAACCCTACCACATGTGCAGCT